GAGGAGCAAAACAGGCAGATGTACAGAAATACACTGCTGAGGGGAGTAGTATGTGAGACAGGAGAGGTCTGCTGTGCCATGTGGCTGAGGATCAGACTTGTGCTGCAGTTTCATAGTTAAACCCTTAAACCAACAGGGAGGCCCCAACTAAGACATTAATAAACACTCAAAGGGTTGCTGAGGAGATCGAATAAAAAAATGGAACAGGTCCTATAGCTAACATCTTATTTAATATTTAATAAAACATTCCCACTAAGGTCAGGTATACAAGGCAAGGATGTCCCCTCTCACTACTCCTTTCAGAGAATCTCTTGCTAATGCAGTAAAAGAAGGCATAATTGGGAAGGCACAAATGACATATCATTTATGTGGAAATCTGAAATAGTCTTTAAAAAAACCCTCCTGGGAATTATAAGTAAGTCTATTCAGATTGCAGGATATAGGTTAATACAAAAGTCAATGGTTTTCCTAGATACACAGTGAAAAGTGGGATTTGAAACTAAAAACACAGTACTGTTTACAGTGGCACCACACACACAAAGGGAGAGAGAGGGAAATATTTAAGTATATATCTAATAAAATATATGAGGAAAACTACAAAACTGATGAACAAAATAAAAGAACTAAACAAATAAAAAAGAAAGTCTGTGAATAGCAAGAGTCAATATTGTCAAGATGTCAGTCCTTCCAGACTAATCTATAGATTCAACACAATTCCAGGAAATTATTTTAGGGCTATTAATACAATAACTCTAAGGTTTCTATGGAGAGACAAAACACAATACTCAACACAATATTAAAGAAGACCAAAACAGGAGATTTAACACTGCCGGATATCGAAACTAACTATAATGTGAAAGGAATTAAAAAAGAGTACTATTGGTGAAAGAATAGACAGACAGGTCAGAGAAACAGAGTATAAAACCTCAAAATAGACCCCCCAAAAGAAAATATAGCCAACATATATTTGATTATATTGACAAAGGAGCAAAGGCAATATAGCGGATCAAAGATAGTCTCTTCAACAAATGGAGCTGGAACAAATATATTGAATTTTTTCACACTGCAAAAAAAAAAAAATGAAGATATAAACTTTTTCACTTTACAAAAACTAACTCAAAATGGACCTTAGATCAAAATATTGAAAGCAAAATTATATATAGCTCCTAAAAGATAGCATAGACGAAAGCCTAGATGGCCTTAGGTTTGGTGGTGCCTTTTTAGATACAATACCAGAAAATAAAACCAAACCATGAAATAATTCATCAGCTGCATTTTAAGGTTAAAAATTTATGTTCTGTTTTTAGGATATCATCTATTTTTGATAAGATAATATCAACAGAATTAGAAAACACAGATTAAAAGAAAAATATTTACAAAAGATTCATTTGACAAAGACTTATCCAAAGTATACAAATAACTCTTAAAATTCAACAATAAGAAAACAAATCACATGACTTAAAAGTTGGCGAGACACCTTAACAGACCCATCACCAGAGGAGAATACAGATAGTAAGAAAGCATATGAAAAACATGTTTCACATCATGTGTCACCAGGAAAATGGTTAAAACAGTGCTATTCCTACACATCTATTAGGATGGTTAAAATCTGAAACATTGACAACATCAAAAGCTTGTCAGGGTGTGAATGAACAGAAACTCTCATTAGTCTGTTGCTGGAAAGGCAAAGTGGTACAGCCACTATGGAAGACAGTTCAGTGGTTCTTATAAAACTAAAAATATATGATCCAGCAGTCATACTCCATGCTGTTTACACAAAGGAGTTGAAAACTCACCTTCACAAAACTTTGCACATGGATATTTGTAGGAGTTTTATTTATAATTGCCAAAACTTAGGAACAACCATGATGTCCTTCAGTAGATGAATGAATAAACAGGTAAATCCAGATAATGGAATACTATTTAGCACTAAAAAGAAATGATATAAAGGAACCATAAAGTAAACAAAGCTATTCTGAAACAGCTACATGTTATATGATTGTAACAATATGCCATTCTGGAAAAGGCAGATCTAAAAGAAGCAATTAAGATATTAGTAGTTGTGCAAAAGAGAGAAGAGGGAGATGTCTCCACAGAGAACAGAGGATTTTTTTTAGATAAGTGAAAATACAGTGTGTGATAAAATGGTGGCTATGCCATTATACATTTTCCTAGAACCAGTGAATGTACCAGAAGAACAAACATTTAGATAAAATATATACTTTGGTGGCTATGATGTTTCAGTGTAGATTTACCTTTGACCAAAAAAATGCCATTCTCTGAGTGAGGTTGGTAAAGGACGTGTGTTTGGAGGTACCGGGTATATGGGAAGTCTCTGTAACTTCCTCTCAACTTTATTGTAAGCCTAAAATTTCTCTAAAAAAGAGAAGTATTTAAAAAGTTGAATTAAGACCTGGTTCACAATAGAACAAGTGTTGGTACTTTTCTTATTCTTTGCACTTATATTTTTTCTTTTTCTTCCCCCTTTAAATGGCTAAGGTTGTACTAATCAAATCACTAATTCCTTCAAACTTTGACTATTTTATTGTGTTGTTCTCACTTTTACATGTCATCTCTTCTATTCATTTCTTCTTCTTTTTCCTCCACCCTCCCCCTCCATTTCTCTTCTTTCTCTGCTTACTGCTTCTCATTTTCTATCATAAGCCAAGCCATGTGCACCATAAATGCTAAGTTTAAATTTCCTTCAAATCCAAAGGCCATTTATGTTTCTTTTTCCTCTTTCCATTACATATGGCTAGTTAACTTCCCTGGACCACGGTTTCAACCTGGAAAAGGGTAAAATAATAAATTGTTAGCATTAAGTGAATTAAATAAAGCCTTGAAGATGTTAACTTCTCTATGGACTGACTCCAAGTCTGTTATAAAACTATATAAAAAAAAGTTACTTATTTTCCAAAGCATGGTGAAACTTTTTAAAAGTTTTACTTTAAAAAAAGATTTATTTTATTTATGCATACAAGAACCCCTGAGGTACAGGCCAGAGGTGGGGTTAGAGGATTCACTTGAACCAGAGGGGAACAGAACAGGTGGATTGACTGAAATACACTGCTGAGCACAACATCAGGTAAGACAGGAGAGGCCTCCTGCATCATGTGGGTCAGCTCCCTGGCCAGGGATCAACTTTGTGCTGCAATGGCAGTGGATAGCTTCAGAGAGTTGCACTTTAACCCATTGTGCCACGAGGTATACCCCACACGGTGAAACTTTGGGTAAAAAAAAAAATCTGGGTTTCAGGCACATCCCTGAATTACAATGAGCTTCAATTTCTTCATGTGTAAAATGACAATAACATGCCTACCTTTCACCTAACCTCCCTCCCTCCCCCAAGGGAATTACAACTCAAGGTACAGGACAGAGGCATCCTCCCCTATTATCCTGGGTTCACCAAGGGGACTAAGTATAATTATAAAGATTCAGTGGGTTAAACTTTTAAAAGATGCTTTTTTTTTTTTTAAGAGAAGTTTAGCAGCAGCAATTACCCAGGGGTAGTTAAACCACTGCTTTTATTTTTAAGGCTATTTTTAGTTAAACATATGAACTGGGGTGTAAGCCAGACATGGGGGTGGGTGGAGGTGGGTTAACTCTCTGGCAGGGAATAGTGCTGTAACTTAACCCCTTGCGCCACCAAAGAGGCTCCATGATAGCTATTATTATTTCCTTTACTTTTTCCACTTCTTTTCCCTTTATCCTCAATAATATAATAAAATTAGTTGGCCTCCCTGGTGGTAGCGAGGTTAAACTCTCAGCACTATGAAGCTATGATCCCCAGCCAGGGGAGTGAAGTTAAAGACACAGTACTATCAAACTATTGCCAGCTACTGCACCATGAGTTCGATCTGGCTAAGGAGCTGACCCACATGGCACAGCAGACCTCTCTTGTCTCTCCCACTGCTTCCTTCAACAGTGTATTTCAGTTGATCTGTCTGTTCTACTCCCCACTCTATATCTGGTGAATCTTCTCACCAACCCCACTTCTGGCCTACATCCCAGTTCTTGTGTGCATAAATAAAAAAATCTTTAAAAAATTAGTGGTTAGTGGTTTACACTACGGAAAACTGTTTGGAGGTTTCTCAAACTGCTAAAAATGGAGCTTCTATATTACCCAGCAATCCCACTCCTAGGTATCTACCCAAAAGACATAAAAACACTGACTCAAAAAGACACCTGCACCCCCATGTTTATTGCTGCTTTATTCACAATTGGAAAGACATGGAAACAGCCCAAATGCCCAAAAATGGTTGACTGGATTAAAAAGGTGTGGTACATATATACAATGGACTATTACTCAACAATCAAAAAAGATAAATACATGCCTTTTGCAGCAACATAGATGGGGCTGGAAGCAATCATGCTTTGTGAATAAGCCAGAAAGAAAAGGAAAAATACTGAATGGTTTCACTCATAGCAAGAGTATAAAGGATCAGGGGAGAAAATAATAATAATAATGAGCAACTATATACCAGAGACATTTTTAGGGGGTGGAGTGGGGAATGGGATCAAAAACGGTGGGGGAGAGGGAAGTGCACCGGACTGTGGTGATGGCACACGGGTGATTTGGTAATGGGAAGCCCAAGGGGATTACAACTGAAAGGGACAAAGGCACAAAATGGTGTAAAAATAAACTATTATATTATTTTAAAAATTAAGAAAAAAAGTTAGTGGTTTAACTCTCCAGGTCATCTCTGCTACTAAGCTTCTATTCTTTTTCTCCTTTTTCTCCTCCCTACCCTCTTTTTTCTTGTCTTCATTACGGCTTTCTTCTCGCTTCAGGCATCATGTGCAGCTCTGAAGGACCCCAACGCGCAAGAGACCCAGGTTCTCATGCATTTAGTATCTAGAGCTTTTTCAACAATAAAGTTTTATTGAAACAAAAGGGGGTAGGGGGCTCCTGTCAGTCTTTCCTGTACAACCAATCAAAAAGTAGAACGCGATGTGTCACTAACAGGAGCTTCTCCAGGCGGTAGGCGGGGGCGAGGCATGTCCCACCCAAAATCTGTTCGTAAGAGCGGAAGTATTGGCCGGAAGTCAGCCATAGAGTTTAGTGGCCAGAGCGACCCTGCAGGGAGGTGGCAGGAAAAGCTCAGAGCAGCTGCCGGAGGTGACGGCGCCTCGGCCCCGCCCGGCGCGCTGGAAGAGGAAGCTTCCAGGTTAGCTGCCCGCAGAGTCTGACCCAGGGTACGACCGGGCGGTTGGTGGGAGCTCGCGATCCTTGGGTGGCCTCTTTAAGGGAGAGGGCGGAGCCATGTGCATGGTTCCTGAGGGTGAGGTCACATGGTTGGGGGCACCTGTGGGACACGGGTGTAGATTTGAGGGGTCGTCGTCGTTGGGGTGGACACCATGTGACATCCTTCTCCCTACTGCATCAGAGTACCGTGGGGTTCAATAGGAAGCTCATGATGGGGTTTGGGATTAGGCCCGGGAGGAGAGGGGGAAATGGTGGGCGTGGCAGCCCTGTCTCAGTCCTGCTTCCATCAAAGTGGCCCTTCCGAGGACTCCTTGATCTTAGTTCTAGACTAATCCATCTCTGGTGACCTATTGTAAACGTGACTCAACACCTTAGTCCCGTCCTTAGTTCCTGTGCTTCCCACCCTTACAATGTTCAGGGGCCTCCAGCTTCGTATCCTCTTGCCTTGCAGTTCCAGACATCCTGAGCCCTGGTCCCCCCAACCAAGAGAAGCCATGAGTGCGGAGGTGAAGGTGACAGGGCAGAACCAGGAGCAATTTTTGCTCCTGGCCAAGTCAGCCAAGGGGGCTGCACTGGCCACACTCATCCACCAAGTGCTGGAGGCCCCTGGTGTCTACGTGTTTGGGGAACTGCTGGATATGCCGAATGTTAGAGAGGTGGGTGCCAGGCCTGGCTATCACATGAGGAAGCTTGGAGCTAACCTTTGAATTTGAAAATGGGTGGAGAGGGCTCATTTTGCAACCCCATAACCATTCAATTTTACAAGAATAGAGTGTTCGATTATTTCATAATCTGATGAGCCGCAGACAGTTCGGGAGGCAGGACTCTCCTATGGCAGCCTCACTCATTTCTGACAGCCTGACAGCCTAGGCAGGCACTGGGAGTTGTGGCTTCTTCTTCAGGCTCATCTCATCTTGGGTGGCTTTTAGATAGAGTGGATCTGTAAGACCCAGTATTTTTCATCTGTAAGCAAAAGTGCATGTAATTTAGGATTGGAGACCTGATTCCAGCTTGTCTCAACCAGTGTAATTGCTCTTAATTATCAGGTCGCCTCAATCCGGTCACTTATTTTAGGGCTCTAGTTTTCTCTTTTGGAAATGGAGATGATGCTGCCCCTCACTGTTATTGTAGAAATTAAGTGAGATTATGGAAAAGTATAAAGTCTGCTACAAATGGAAGGAATAAACATCTGAAATTACCGTGCCCTGTTCTCCCACTTCACACCATGTGCTGATTCAGATGAATTAGATAAGGCAGAAGGTATATTTTCCTCAGACACACATGGCAGCATGCTAGCAGCACAGCTAAGAATTTAAAATCCAGGACCTTCCCTGGTGGCGCAGCAGGTTAAAGCACAACACTGCAAAGCTAGTCGCAGCCCCCGCCCAGCACAGGTTTGGTCCCCGGCCTCAGTCCCTGGCTTTGGTCCCCACCTGGGGAGGTGGCCCACATGGTGCAGCAGATTGCCTGCTGCTCCCCTCAGCAGCATACCTCGTTGATCTGCTGTTCTGCTCCACACTCAGTGGTGAATTCTCTCACTGCCCCTGCACCTCTGGCTTGTACCCCATTTCTGTATGCATAAGTAAATAAATCTTTAAAAGAAAAAAAGAACTTAAATTCCAGAATACATGGGTTGCTGAGAGAGGTGACATCAGCCCTGGTTTTGAGAGGCTATGACAGTAGGATGTGGGCAAATAGGAATTAAGTTTTTTTTTTTTTTTAAAGATTTATTTATTTGTGCATACAGAACTGGGGTACAGGCCAGAGGCTCAGGGGCGGTGAGAGGCTTCACCAGAGACAGAGTGAGGAGCAGAACAGGCAGATCAATGAACTACACTGCTGAGGGGAGCAGCGGGCGGGTCAGGAGAGGTCTGCCCCACCATGTGGTCACCTCCGGGGCAGGCGGGAATCGAACTCATGCGGAAGCGGCTTTAGATTCTCAGTGCAGTGCTTTAACCCTCTGCGCCACCAGGGAGGGCCAGGAATTAAGTTTTTAAGGGTCTTTAATTGAGTCAGTGGATTTAGCTTTCTGGAATCACTGTGGTACAGAGAAACAATGGCTGCTTTTCCATTTTCAGTGGAACTAAAGGGAATCAAGATGAAGAAAAAGGAGCATTTAGTGGGTGCCTGTTTAGCACTGCTAGTTACCTGGGTATATAAAACAAAGTACATGACACTGCTTATCTCTCTAAAACTTACATTCCAGAGGTAGAGATAAATAAATGGACGTGCCCGTATAAATCACGTACTTAGCAAGTAGTTATTGATGAGGCGCAGGAATGAGCGATAAGTAATAGAGAAGAGGAGGTCTGAATCGACTAGTCTGGGTGATAAAAGCCTCCAGGTGAGGTGAATCTGAAGCAGGGCCTGCAATCTCTGGTGTGTGCCTAGGCTGTGCAGCTGACAGAGCTGAGTGAGGCTGCGGCGGGAGAGTCCCTCCTTCCGCCAGGACAGTGCAGCAGACTGCCCTACGGCTCATCAGATTCTGAAATGTTGAACACACCCTAAGCACCAACAACACAATTTGCTGTGTCTGATATGTGTCTGTTAGAGTGAACATTCTAAATTTTCAACTCAGGAATTAGGGTAGGAATTGGAGGCCTATGGAGGATTGGGGAACAGTGGAAACAAAACCCAGCGGGTGAACGTGAGTCCTGCCTATGGGGAGAGAGAGCAGAGAGGCAGAGTTCCTTTTGCCGAGCTGGGAGAGGTAATATCCAGGGGTAAGATGGGGCCAGAAGGGGGAGTTCAAAACGGGGATGTCTGGGAGGGTAGAGCTGAATCCCTCCGTGCTGTCTCTTTCCTCATGCAGCTGGCTGAGAGTGATTTCGCTTCCACGTTCCGGCTGCTCACGGTGTTTGCTTACGGGACATACGCAGACTACTTAGGTAATGGAGAGACTGGAGCTCTGGAGTAGGACTGATGGGAGAAGGGCAGTTTCTGGAGGGACTTAGAAGAAATTCCTGGGATATCCTACTTAGAGCCCTGTGTAAGCAAGGTTTAGGTCCCAGCCTAAACTGACATGGAAGAATTAAAGGAAAAAAAAAAAAAAAAAAAAGGCAGGGCTTCCCACGAAAGTGAAGTCAGGATTGCTGTCTGTCCTTTTTTCTCAGCGGAGGCCCGGAATCTCCCCCCACTCACGGAGGCTCAGAAAAATAAACTTCGACACTTATCGGTTGTCACCCTGGCTGCCAAAGTCAAGGTGAGTGCCAGCTTCTCGGTCCCGAGCCAGAGAGGTCCAGAACCTTCTGTGGGCCCCTTCACAGGGGCCCAAGTTTATGCAAGCACAGCCTTTGACCACACTCCTTACCCTGACTCCCCCGACACCCCTTAAAAGCCTGTCTCC